TGGACTGTTTCCACGCCCATAAATCTGCGCAACCATGCTGTTGGGCATACCGTCGAGACAGTGGCTGATTAATGAATAAATGAATTAATTAATAAATCTTTATTGTCCACCGAGATGGAAATTTTTCTTTGGCTCACCAAGACATACAATACAAATGAACATTCAAACAACATCAAGCAGAGTAAAGGAAATAAAAAAATAAAACACAAAAAACAATATAAAATATCATACAAATAAATGTACTTTAAATACATCATGATAATAATTAATTTGCTGTAGTTACTTGGTTTGGTTCAGGATACCAATAGCATTTGGGACAAAAGATTTCCTAAAAGTACTTTTTGCAAGAGGCACCCTGAAGCGCCTCCCAGACTTCAGAAGCTCAAACTGGCTAGAAAGAGGGTGAGTGCTGTCTGTAGTGATTTTTCTAGCCTTCTTTCTCATTCTGTCAGTATATATTTGGGTCAGATGTTTTTGAGGATTTCCTACTATTTTACTAGCCATTAACACTATCCTGTTAAGCTTGTTCTTAAGCTTGCAATTTAAATGACCAAACCAAGCAGAGAGATGAAAGGTTAAAACACTTTCAATGTGTGTGATGTATGCTAGTTCAATAGTCTGAGCACTAAAGCCCAGGCAGTTCAGTCTTCTGAGGAGATTAAGTCGTTGTGAACATTTCTTAAAAATATAATCTGTATTATCTATAAAACTCAAATGGTTGTCAAGAACCGTGCCTAAATACTTAAAAGTTCCCACAGTTTCAACTACTTGACCATTAAGTACAACTGGCTCTGTTGTTATGTCTTCTTTATTGCAAAAGATTAGCTTGTTTGTCTTTGCCACATTGATTTCTAGCTCGCTATCTTTGCACAATGCTTCAAGGGCCGTTACATGTGCTAAATAAGAGGCCTCACCAGAGGGGTACATTTTTTGTAAGATTCCTACTAAGACCACATCATCTGCATATTTTATCACCTTAACGGTACTATTATTTATGGAAATTCATTTGTGAATAGAGAAAAAAGCACAGGGGAAAGTAGTATGCACTCCTGACAAAAAGCCATTTACACATACCCTCTGAGGGCGACAGGAAAGAAAGTCTCTGATCCAAAGAACCAAGGCCTTATCTATCTTAATATTGGCTAGTTTTTGCAGGAGAATATGTAGCTTCATAGAATTAAATGCTGCACTAAAGTCTATGAATAGAACTCTAGCTTGCCCATTGGGGGGTGCAAGCTGTTTTGAAATAGAGTCTAAAAGGACCAGCACGGCATCGTCAGTCCCCCTTTCACTTCTATAGGCGAACTGCAACGGATCTAACATGGTGGTTATTTGGGAGGTCAGGAGATCTACCAGAACTCTCTCCATTGATTTACACAATATGGAGGTGATAGCTATAGGTCAGAAATCTTCAGGCTTATATGCACCAGGCTTTCTAGGTATGGGCTTTATTAAAGAAAATTTCCAAGACGAGGGTACACCTGCAACCAGAAGAAAGTTAAAAAGCCTTGAAAAGACACCTTTTAATTGTGGGGCACAATCTTTAAGTAAGCAGGCTTTCAGGCCATCTGGGCCAGCGGCCTTATTTGGTTTTATTTTATTAAGGCTTTTGACAACAGCATCTTCTGTAATAAATATTGGTGCGCCTATAGGAAGATTTTTACAGATGTCATCACACTCACCCTTATCATCCACAGCATCAAACCTGCAGAAGAACATATTCATTTCATCTACAAGACTTTGACTGCAAACTACAGTACTGTCACCCTTACTGCAACTTTTTCCCATTAAGATGTTTAAGCCCTCCCAAGCCTGTTTTATATTCCCAATGAAGAATTTACTCTCTATTTTGTTTTTATACTGAATTTTTTCCTTAATGAAATCCCCCCTTAGTTGTTTCCTTTTTTCCTGCACTAGTTCCATGTTGCCTGAACAAAAGGCAATCTTTCTTTCATTCAGGCAGGTTTTAAATTTTTTGGAAACCCAGGGTTTATTATTTGGGAAAATTCTGATAGTCTTTGTTTCAGATACACAGTCCTCACAGAACTTAATATATGATGTTATAGTGTCCGTGAGTTCCTTCCCATCCAGACATGATTCAAAGAAGATGTCCCAATTTGTGTTGTCAAAACAGTCTCTGAGTTGATCTTTGTTTGTTTCAGACCACATCTGTATCTGCTTGATAACTGGTTTCGTCCTTTTGAGAATAGCTTTATATTTAGGCAGGAGATGAATTATATTGTGATTGGATTTCCCTAGAGGTGGTCTACACACTGCTTTATATGCCTCAGAGATATTTCCGTAGCAGCGGTCAAGGGTCCGATTTAACCGTGTAGGACAGTCAACTTATTGATGAACAGTGGGCAGATGTGTAGACATGTTACATGAGTTAAAGTCCCCAAGGACAAAGACAGGCTGATCAGCAGAGCGGGCAAGTGCATCATTATAACTCTGTTATTTTTTCCCCCGCTGCTGCATCATTCGGTCCAGGCACATCCACGAGAATAATAGTAATTTGACCAAACTCTCGCGGGAGGTAGAATGGTTGAAAGGATACAGTCAATATTTCACACCTGCTCCCGAACGATTGCTCCCAAGCCCAACGATTGTCAACAAATAAACACGACCCCCCTCCGATTGATTTGGGTGAACTACACTAATTTCTGTCTGCTCTTATGGTAGTGTACCCGGCCAGAGTTGGAGTGTCATGATAGTTTTTAAGCCATGATTCTGTCAAACACAGCAGGTTGCTTTGTCTGAATTCACAGTCATGTTCTGCTCTTAACGCCAGTTCATCAAGTTTGTTGCTTACCGACCGATCATCGGTCAGAGTGATGACTGGCAATGGGAATCTATTGCCGCGTCTCTCCAAAGTCAGTGCCTCACACCTCCCCTTGAGCCTCGCTTTTTCTTTGCTTTCTTCTTCCCTGCTGGCCATTCAGCAGGCCGTCGGATTTCCATGCAATCGACAGGAGAGTTGGTGGAGCTACACTCATTGCTTATATGGAGAGCAGGTGCTCATGGGTGTAAATGAGGTAGTCTTGACGGCCTGATAAACAATCCCCAGTTCCAAATGCTGATAGGCAAAGTAGTATCCATAGTAAAGCGATTTTCATGACGAAAAATGCTATTTTGGCAGATAAAAAACGTTTTAAAAAACAGACAAACGGTGAGCACAGGGTCGACAGCACGCCGCGCCCCCGGAAAGAAGTCTTTTGTCAGCAATATCAAAAATAATCATTATTACTCTATCAGAATACGCTGCCCCTGATATCTTAAATAAAGATGGCTTAATACAGTATTTCAACATGCTCCCCATCTCTGTACAGTGCACATGGAGTGAGCAGTGGGGTGATATAAAATGATTCTGCAGTGGGAGCTTTATTTGATGGGGGATATTAGTCAGAATACGCTGCCCCTGAAATGATGTTAGAATATAATCAAAGAACAGAAGTTGTCATAATACTGGGAGCGTTGGAAAAGGAAACGCATAAGGTAGCATTTTTTGAGAGCGCAGAGCAACTCAATAGTCTGCTATGGATTTGCGCTACGGTAGCATTTTTTGATAAGGCAGCACAGATCGTCAGAACACCGGCAATGAGGATGGACAACATCTGAAGGATACCAGAGTCAGATGGCTGGAGTTCAGAAACAAAGACCGTCGACAGAGCAGTGGGGCTGGAAGCTGGCAACAGCTGCTGCAGCTCAGGAAGAACCAGGGATGCCAGCTGCAGTTCAGTGACAGGAGAATCTGGGTGTTATTGTATCAGTGTGGGAGATACCAGAGGGAATAGTGGCTCTGTGACAGAAGCAGGTGGATGCTGCTGTGTAGCAGAGTCAGGTAAGGTTCTGTCACATACTAAACATGAAGTTCAGTCTCTGCATTTAACCCGTACCCAGGTCGTCAATGGCACTGACTGGAGAACCTAACATCATGTTAGGGGGAAACAAGAGCACAAGGAGGAAACTCACTCAGACATAGGTTTAGCAAACTGCAAACTCCACACAGGAAGGAATGAGACTAACGGGGTTCGAACCTGGGACCCTCTTGCTGTGCCGCCAGGGTGTTGCAGCACAAAGTCAGTTGCAGCTCTGGAGTAAAAAAGGCTGTTGTAGTTCTGTGGCTGCATGTCGACAGGCACAGGAGGCGGCAGCAGCTTATCAAAGTCCGACTGCTGCTGCATTACAGGGGCCAGAAGTAACCGCAGGTCTGGGAAAACTAGTACCCCTACACAGGAAACAGGATTCAGCACGCCAAGGACAACAAAACAAGTGGCTTTCTGGTTATGCAGTAACACAGTGGTACTTCGATTAGTAACAGTAATATTATTACTGTTGAGGAAATTTACAATAGTTGTTTATATTATTTAATATTACATAATACAACGTTTTACTGCTCAACACTATATATATAGTTGTATGTAAAGTAGTGTGTCTGCCTCGACCGGTTGGTGTCAGAGAAGGTGTGTGTGTGGGGGGGGGGGGGCTCAGAGATCGAGAGAACCTGGTTCCACAGGAGATGATGTATCTTTATACTGACAGCACACAAGGGCTTCTGATTATAGACAAGAATATGATTATCAATATAATTTAATAGAATATTTCCATGGACAGGTTGAATTAAACAGAAACCAGAACTGTAAATGCAGAGTCACATAAAATGAAGAAACATGTCGAGCAACAGAACATTTAACAAACAAACATCACTGTGTAAGTTACTGTTAGTGAAGAGGGCCGATCCAGAACCAGGACCCTGACCAGGACCCAGGTTGCTGCTTGTACCGGTTAACTGATATGTTACATGTATTTATATTATGACTGGTGCAGCTTCTCTGTGTGTAGTTTAGCAGTTTCAGGCTTTTATCTCCCAGAATGCTCGAGTGATTGAACAAGGACGTTTCCTCTGCGTCATATTTCAGTTTAGTTCAAAGGTCAGAAAGAGCTTCAGTTTACGAGGCTGGGGAGTTATGTCCTCTCAAGTACACAAGTACTGTGTGTGTGAGTGCGTGGTGGGCGGGGCCTGTGTGTGGTGGGCAGGGTCTCTGATTGGACGATAGAAGCTGAACTTTGTCACATCAGTCAGTTATTATTCAGTCTGAAGGGTTTCTGCTGCTGATGACAGGAAACTGATCTCAGGTAAGAGAAACATAACAAATAGTATCTTAACTAATCGTCTTAATAATAAAAACTCTAATATCATCTCTGAAAAACAACAACATGAAGAAAGAATGTTTGACTGCAGCTTCAGAAACTCGTCTCTTCTGTCATAAATTATTGATCTAATTTCACTGAGGAGGAGTTTGGTAAAGTTGTGTATCGATCAGACAGACTCAGCAGCAGTTTGTTCTGATGGTGGCGCTTCAGTCATTAACATGTTCAGATGTCCGTCTGAGGACGTGTGTTGGACAGACAGAAAGACAGACCTCTGACCTTCTCTCTCTCTGTCAGTCTGATAAACAGCCAGAGTTTGTGGTTATCAGCTGACAGCAGCATTCAGACTGAAGGCGGGGCTTATCACTGACACACAGACACACTGAGCTATGATGCTAACACAAAGCTAACTGAACAGACGGCTTGTCTGGAGTCATTTGAAGCATCTTCAGTCTCAGAATCTATAAACCTGCAGAAGATGAGCATCCGGAGCTCTTTGTGATGATGTTTTATGTTTCAAATTAAAAAGAATGTAAAACTAAACTAAGCCCCTCGCCCCCCTCTTCCTCCTCACAGCTATGACCAATCCTGTGGTCATAAAAAGTCAACTATGACTCCCAGGGTGCATTTCTCTAACAATCACAGAGCTTTAAATTCTGTCATGCAGCAGCTGGAAGCTAAAAGATGAAAAGTTTAGAAGGTGAATTTACTTGTAAATTCTGGTGCAGTCTTCAGTGACTTCAGTAACCATGGCAACGTGTTGAGAATTCACTACCACACACACCTCTTTTCCATAGCAACGGCAGCTAGGGCTCATGGGTATTGTAGTATTTAGAGAGAATTGTTCAGAACAGTAACCCGCTGGCTGGTTTCTGTGTTTTCAGGAGTTCCATTAAAAAAACATTTAAAAGAAGCTGAACCAGAAAACATGTGACCTTTGACCTCTGACTGAAGGAGGAAGTAGTTTGGTTTGTATTTTAACCTTTGGCCGCGTTCTTTGTTGTTTTATGAGCTGATGAATCTGAACACACTGCTGATTATTACACGTTGGAGATGTTTCTGATTAATCTCTGGTTTCATCTCAGTGAATCGTTTAATAATACAGATTAGAAATACATAGATATTTAAATTCAGATCTGATGAGATGTCTCATAGACGCAAGTCTATAAAAACAGTAAGAAATAAATCAGAAATAAAAGACAACCAGACTTTATCTTCTACATATAATTATTAGCCTTTATGTCGCTGCATTGTTGTGGATCTAATTTACACTATGATGCCAAATGTTTTAGGACACCCCTCTGAATCATTGAGATCAGGTCTTCCTGTCACCTCCATGGCCACAGGTGGCTAAAACCAAGCACCTCGGCTGCAGACTGCTTCTACAAACAGCTGTGAAAGAACGGGTCGCTCTCAGGAGCTCAGTGAGTTCAGGCGTGGTCCTGTGGTAGGCTGCCACCTGTGCAATAAGTCCATTTGTGAAATTTTCTCATTGCTAAATATTCCACAGTCAGCGGTTAGTGGTGTTATAACAAAGTGGCGATTGGGAACAACAGAAACTCAGCCACGAAGTGGTAGGCCTCATAAAATCACAGAGCAGGGTCAGCACATGCTGAGGCGCACAGTGCGCAGAAGTTGCAGAAGAACAGCTACAGACCTCCAAACGCCGTGTGGCCTTCGGATTAGCTCAGGAACACTGCGTAGAGAGCTGCATGGAAGGGTTTCCATGGCCGAGCAGCTGCATCCAAGCCTGACATCAGCAAGTGCAATGCTAAGCGTCGGATGCAGCGGTGTAAAGCACGCCGCCACTGGACATAAGAGAAGTGGAGACATGTTCACTGGAGTGACCAATCACGCTTCTCTGTCTGGCAATCTGATAGATGAGTCTGGGTTTGGTGGTTGCCAAGAGAACGGTACTCGCCTGACTGCATTGTGCCAAGTGTAAAGTTTGGTGGGGTGTGGGGCTGTTTTTCAGGGCTTGGCACTTCAGTTCCATTAAAAGGAACTGTTCATGCTTCAGCAGACCAAGACGTTTAGGACAGTTTCATGCACCCAGCTTTGTGGAAACAGTTTGGGGACGGCCCCTTCCTGTTCCAACATGACTGCGCACCAGTGCACAAAGCTGGTCCATGAAGACCTGGATGAGCCAGTTTGGTGTGGAGAACATAATTGGCCTGCACAGAGTCCTGACCCCAACCCGATAGAACACCTTTGGATGAATTAGAGCAGAGACTGTGAGCCAGGCCTTCTGGTCCAACATCTGTGCCTGACCTCACAAATGCGCTTCTAGAAGAATGGTCAAAAATTCCTATGAACACACTCCTGAACCTTGTGGACAGCCTTCCCAGAAGAGTTAAGCTGTTATAGCTGCAAAGGGCGGGCCAACTTCATATTTAACCAGACAGGGTGCATGTAAAGGCAGGTGACCCCAAACCCTTGGCAATATAATGAATATTTACTTTGTGGATATGAAATTTTGTTTTATTTATTTATTTGTATACACAAAGACATTTACAGTCAACACAAACACACTTTTACCTGCATTCACTGAGATAAACATGAAGTTAATAAGAGTCTGTGCAGGAGAGAAGCTCCAGAGCAGCTGAAACTGATTTACATTAAATAAAAATAAAAAAGACGACGACAAAATAAAGTCGTTTGTTGATGTTAAAATATGAAGAAAGCAGAAAAGATGAGCAGATTTGTTAGTTAGTTAAACAGTTTGTTGAAATAATGATGGATTAGACTTTAATACAGAACAAGAAGGAAAGATGAATTTATTATTATTAGTTTACTATTTTCTAGTAATAACATCAGCACGGTGCTTCGTGTTTTTCATCAGTTAATAAATACCAGATCGTAGTGAACTGTCTCAGTTTCCTGCTGATTAATATTTAATTGTATTAATTAATTGTATAATAAACTTGACCTCTGATTCACATCAGATTGGATTTTTCTAATATTAACTTAATCACTTTAATCACTGGAGGTTGCTTCAGACGTATTTTCATCCGTTAATAGGAGACTCACCTGTCTGTCTGATCCTCGTGTAAAGGCCAGACTCACCTGTGTGATAACACAGGGGTTGCCGTGTTAACGTGTCCTTAATATTTTTACCTCATCTAGAGATGACTCCTGTGCTGCGGAACAGAGGGCCTGTTGTTGCCATAGTAAGAGATCTGTCTTTTCTGTTGTTTCAGAGACTCTCAGCAGGCGACCGGCAGGACGTTCTAACTTGTCAGAGTTTCCAAACATCAAGCTCCATTCAGCATCTTCCTCCCTCAGAACCTCCACCCCCCGCCGGCTCCATAGCACCCCCAGCAGCCATGGACAGCACCCCGAGAAGGTGGGTACTGAAGCCTCTTTCCCCCGTGCTGCAACCGTCAGATCTGCGCACCATCGCTGGCCCCACCCGGGGCGATTTCCCTGACCTGGAAGAGCCGGTCTTCTCCTCAAACATCATCTCCGTTGGTGGTACTCTATCCTCAGTCGTCGTCTCCTCACAGCAGGGTGACGGGGCCACAGATGTGGTGGTTCAGGCTCGGCAGGTTGCAGTGTCACAGGATGTAGGGAACACCAGTGATGAGTGGCATCCCAGTACCTCAAGCAACCCCAGCAGTCCAAGCAGCAGCTTGGGCTCTCACTGCGGTTTCTACTCCTTCGTGGAGGATCCGATGAGTCCTGAGGCTGAGATGAATGAAGCATGGATGGTCTCACCACAGCGACAGACTCAGCTGGCGACCCTGAAGGAGGAGAAAGGATTCAAACTACAGACCTACACCAGCAGCAGGAAGCCGGAGAGTCTGTTCTCAGAGAACAATGGAGACTTGCAGTACAAAGTGGATCTGAACAATGGTATTGAAGTGGTCCAGGAGGAAGAGGAGAAGCAGCTTCGGAAGGAGATCATTCACAGCCAAGCACCAAAGAAAAGCCAAACATTCAAAGATCAGCTGAGTGCACTTGAGGATCTAGATCTGAGCAGATCTGCAAACAAATTGCTAGAAGGTTTCAGTGTAAGTTACAACCCTGTCAGCTCCAGACCAGAACCTCACCAACCTACTGAGCTCAGTACCATAGACAAGGAGCAGATCAACTTCAACACTGCCCGGGAACAGTTCCTGAAGATGGAACAGGACCGGCTGACTGCACTCCTCAATCCTCCGAGGTCCTCAAAAACACATCTGAACAAGTCTCTGCAGCCAGATTCTGATGTGTCCTCATCAAAGCTGGTGGAGACAAACCACAGTGTAGAGGTAAGCAACGATAAAACGCTTTTTAAACCACCAGAAAATGAGAGCTACCCAGAGAGAAAGTTGATGGTGTGCAGGACTGAGGAGAGTCTCAGCCGACAGAGCAGTGTGTTTGAGGACCTGGACACTTGCCTGGATGAGCTGTCGGTGGAGGTGGGTGGTGGTTACACCAGCGAGCAAGGCATGTTCAATGACAACGCTCAGCCAGAGAACAGGATTAGCAAGTCCATAAGCAACTATGAAACCCCGGTTGAAAGGGAGATCCGGTTAGTTCAGGAACGTGAGGAGAACCTACGACGCTCTCGGGGGCTGTATAGTGATTACAGTGACAGCAGAGCAGAAATGGTCGAGATCAAAACCAAACGTTTACAATCTCCACTCACGGCTGTCAAAGCCAAAGAGAAGAACCGAGTGAGCTTCATCATCCAGCGTGAGATCCAGAAGGAGAAGGAGAAGAAGGAGGAACATCAGCAGCACGGAGAGACCCTGGGACGATACCAAGATCCTCCACAGGAGCTTGAGGACGTAGAGAGGAAGTTTGACCAAAGAGACAAGGACAAGAGGACAGAAGAAAGACCTCAGTCTGAGTCTCGAGATGCCAAAGTCTCACCAGCACCTTGCTGCCCTCATCGTCATCCCAAAGAAACCGAGTTGTACATCAGCCAAATGAGTTCAGCTCGTTCTTCCTTCTCTGTAAGGGTATCAAAGGGCCAAGAAGCAAGAGGTTCTCACCAATATCGAAAAACTTATTCATCCTCCGGTTCCTCCTCCTCTCCCTTCTCCCCAACACACAGTGACACGACCTTGACCAAGCCTCAGTCCTGGAGGGAAAACCTGGAATCTACCGGCCTGCAGGCCAAAGGACAAGGAGCTCCAGATTTCATCGAGAAGGAGATTGAGGAGGACTTGAGACGGGAGCAGGAGCTCAGGGAGCTCAGGGAGCGGAGGGAGGCCAGGAATGAAATTGATCGACAGCTCTTTTCTCCAGCTACTCTGGTGGAACAGGCAACCAAGATGACCATCAGTCAGTTCTACCCACCTGTAAAAACAGGTATGTAGTCATTATCAAGGCTGGATTGAAGTTGTGCTTACAGGGACTGGGTTGCACCACCTCTTCATAAATCCATCAACAGGTTAGAACGTCCTTCTTAAATTTTTAGCAAGTACTAGCTTGTTTCAAACTAGTAATTTACTAAATCCCATTGCAGAGAGCGGGAAATGCCAAAGCTGGGCTAAGTGGCGGTATTTTCTTGTTATGTTTCATTATTCGCATCATTTGAGGGTTTTTATGTGAAACGTTTTCAATTTTCATCAATATTAGACAACATTTTGATCTAGAGTCGGGTCAGATATGTCATCTATTCCTCTTTTACTAATGTCAAAATTTTGACTGCAGGCACAACAGGCAGAAGGTGTGTGCATGCAATTTTAAAATTAAGTCAGGTGGTTCATCGACAAAAAACACTATTTCAGAGTCCGGCAGCTTCAGAATCCATCAGCTTCACAGTCCAGCAGCTTCACTCTAGCAGCTTCAGAGTCCAGCAGCTTCAAAGTCCAGCAGCTTCAGGGTCTAGCAGCTTCAGAGTCCGGCAGCTTTAGAGTCTAGCACCTTCAGAGTCTAGAAGCTTCAAAGTCTAGCAGCTTCACAGTCCAGCAGCTTCACTCTAGCAGCTTCAGAGTCCAGCAGCTTCAAAGTCCAGCAGCTTCACTCTAGCAGCTTTAGAGTCCAGCAGCTTCAAAGTCAGCAGCTTCAGGGTCTAGCAGCTTCAGAGTCCGGCAGCTTTAGAGTCTAGCACCTTCAGAGTCTAGAAGCTTCAAAGTCTAGCAGCTTCAGAATCTAGCAGCTTCACAGTCCAGCAGCTTCACACTAGCAGCTTCAGAGTCCAGCAGCTTCAAAGTCCAGCAGCTTCACTCTAGCAGCTTTAGAGTCCGGCAGCTTCAAAGTCAGCAGCTTCAGGGTCTAGCAGCTTCAGAGTCCGGCAGCTTTAGAGTCTAGCACCTTCAGAGTCTAGAAGCTTCAAAGTCTAGCAGCTTCAGAATCTAGCAGCTTCACAGTCCAGCAGCTTCACTCTAGCAGCTTTAGAGTCCGGCAGCTTCAAAGTCAGCAGCTTCAGGGTCTAGCAGCTTCAGAGTCCGGCAGCTTCACACTAGCAGCTTCAGAGTCATGCAGCTTCAAAGTCCAGCAGCTTCACTCTAGCAGCTTTAGAGTCCGGCAGCTTCAAAGTCAGCAGCTTCAGGGTCTAGCAGCTTCAGAGTCCGGCAGCTTCACACTAGCAGCTTCAGAGTCCAGCAGCTTCAAAGTCCAGCAGCTTCACTCTAGCAGCTTTAGAGTCCAGCAGCTTCAAAGTCAGCAGCTTCAGGGTCTAGCAGCTTCAGAGTCCGGCAGCTTCACACTAGCAGCTTCAGAGTCCAGCAGCTTCAGAGTCCAGCAGCTTCACTCTAGCAGTCCAGCAGCTTCAAAGTCAGCAGCTTCAGGGTCTAGCAGCTTCAGAGTCCGGCAGCTTTAGAGTCTAGCACCTTCAGAGTCTAGCAGCGTCAGAGTCCAGCAGCTTCAGAGTCTAGCAGCTTCACAGTCCAGCAGCATCACTCTCGCAGCTTCAGAGTCTAGCAGCTTCAAAGTCAGCAGCTTCAGAGTCTAGCAGCTTCAAAGTCAGCAGCTTCAGAGTCCAGCAGCTTCAAAGTCAGCAGCTTCAGGGTCTAGCAGCTTCAGAGTCCGGCAGCTTTAGAGTCTAGCACCTTCAGAGTCTAGCAGCTTCACAGTCCAGCAGCTTCAGAACCCAGCAGCTTCACAGTCCAGCAGCTCACTCTAGCAGCTTCAGAGTCCAACAGATTCAGAGTCTAGCAGCTTCAAAGTCCAGCAGCATCACTCTCGCAGCTTCAGAGTCCAGCAGCTTCAGAGTCTAGCAGCTTCAAAGTCAGCAGCTTCAGAGTCTAGCAGCTTCAGAGTCCTGTAGCTTCAGAGTCCAGCAGCTTCAGAATCCAGCAGCTTCAGAGTCCAGCAGCTTCAGAGTCCAGCAGCTTTAGAGTCTAGCAGCTTCAGAGTCCAGCAGCTTAAGAGTCAGCAGCTTCAGAGTCTAGCAGCTTCAGAGTCCAGCAGCTTCAGAGTCTAGCAGCTTCAAAGTCAGCAGCTTCAGAGTCCTGCAGCTTCAGAGTCTAGCAGCTTCAGAGTCTAGCAGCTTCAGAGTCCAGCAGCTTCAGAGTTGAGCTTCAGCTGGTCCAGCTGCAGTTTGTATAAATCCGTATCCGCAGAAATAGCAGAGGTCAACGCTTCAGGTCAGCTGACATCACAGCATGTCACATATCTCTCCTATATCTATTATCTTTTTCAGATAAACCTGTCAGTGTGTCCAGTCCATCTCCCCGTTCCTCCGCTCGTCTGCCCTCCATCTCCTTCATCACCGCTCAGCCCTGGACCTCCTCACCTCCTCCCCCCCCTCCTCCTCTCGCCCTTCCTCCTCCTCCCCCCTCCCCTCCTGTTACTCCTACTCCTCCCCCACAGTGGTCTGGCCGGTCCGCCCTCCTCTTAGAGGTCTGACAGAGACTCTGCTGCAGGACTTTGAGGAGAGACAGATCCAGCTGAGGCTGGAGGAGAGTTCAGTGAGTCATCAGTACATCCTGGCTCTTATTTTGGAGGTTTAGTGCTTCATCCTGTCAGAATAAACATTTTACTTTTTTTTTTTTGACGGTAAAATCCATCTCATGATCCTTATTCAGTCTTAGACATTTTTAGAAAAAAATGGTTCCTGTTTACTGAAGTCTGACCGCTTTAGGTCCAAACTCTGAGCATGAACTGAAACACAAGAAGAGAATCAGAAATACTTTATTGATCCTATTGGTCCTGATTTCTTAAAACTAAACTAACACAATTAATAGGATTATTATTATTGGTGTGTCTCCATCATCACTGGATGTCTTCATTTTCCATTTGTGGCCTCTTGGTTCATGTTTACAGTTTGATTTGACCTTTGAATGAGACCTTCAATAACGTTTGTCTCCAGCTGCAGCTAAATGTCTACCCAGGAACATGAATCATAAAATAGAAAAACATTTCCTCTTTAATATATAGCATGGGTGCAGACAGTAAATAAAAACATCTGTTCATTACCACAGATGACTTTAATTTAAAGTATTATACCCTGCAAAGGTTCTTCACCGGTTCAGATATCTGAGGTAAACTAGACTTTATTCCAACTGACAGGAATAATATTGGAAATGACCCAAAGAAGAGCTGGGTTGGGAAATGGAAACAATTATAAGAAACACAGGATTTGATCAGTAGCTCGGTTTGACTTCAGTTTCTCTTCTGGTGTTTCTCATTTCAGTACGCAGGAATCCAGCCGGTGGACGACGTGAATAACGAGGTGCAGCCTGACTTTAACTTTTCTGCCTGTTAACCAGCAAGTTATTGTCTTGTCTCATTGCTTCTTTGTCTCTCTGTCTCTTTGTCTTGTCTCATTGCCCTTTTGTCTCTCTTTGTCTTGTCTCATTGTCTCTCTGTCTTGTCTCATTGCCTCTTTGTCTCTGTGTCTCTTTGACTTGTCTCATTGTCTCTTTGTCTTGTCTCATTGCCCCTTTGTCTGTCTGTCTCTTTGTCGCTTTGTTTCATTGTCTCTCTGTCTTGTCTCATTGCCTCTTCGTCGTATTGTCTCTGTCTTGTCGCTTTGTCTCATTGTCTTCTCTTATTGTCTCTTTGTCTTTTCCCATTGTCCTTGTCTTGTCTCTTTGTCTTATTGTCTTATTGTCTCATTGTCTCTTTGTCTTATTGTCTTTTATCTCATTGTTTCATTGTCTCTCTGTCTTGTATCGTTTTCTTATCGTCTTATTATTTATTGTCTCTTTGTTACTTTTTCTCATTGTCTTATTATGTTATTGTCTCTTTGTCTTATTCTCTCTTTGACTCTTTGTCTCTTTGTCTCTTTGCTCTTTGTCTCTTTATCTTATTGTCTCTTTGACTCTTTATCTCATTGTCTCATCTGTATTCAGGTTGTTGAGTCAACTCGAGTTATTCGACATAAAAGCCAGCGTGCTCTCCGCTGGGAGGCTGGAGTGTTTGCGAACCAGGAGGACCAGTGAGACCAGAAGGACCAGATCCAGGACCAGGACCTGCAGGTGGGGAGGAGGCGGTAGAACTAGTTCAGATGGAGCGTCTCTTCACTAACAGGATTTTTTCAGATTTTTTTCTTCAGCTGAGACTAAAATGGTTTTAAACGCTCCAAAGATAAGGCTTCTCCCGATTGGTCCTCTAGACAAAAGCCCCTCTCCTTGTCCAATCAGCTGCCAGCTGCTGAGTAGAGCCTCTGACAGAGACAATGTGCCTGATTCATATAGAAAAGAAATAAATTGAGTGAAGAAGAGTGATGAAGGTTTCGTTTTCATTGAATCACCTGACGTTTCTGATTATTTTCATGATTTAAAACTGATGCTTCAAACAATAGCACAAAGAATAAAACTTCTTATTCAACCTGTCCAACTGTCTGTTGTATCAGAAGAAACGGGGATGTAGCCTACACCACCTGGACCTGAATGTACCAAATACTACAAACTCAAGTTCACACTGAAAACCAGGTCAGTGGTTCAGACGTGAAAGTTAACATCTGCTCAATAAAAGAGAAAAGTGTTAGTACGAAGAAAAGTACTTTAAACAAATTGTTTTAAATGATTCGCAGTTTAAATAAAAGTTGTGAGGAGATTCACATTGTTCCTCTGATCAACTTGGTTTCAGCAGGAGAAAGAAGAAGTCGAGTTAGTAACATGCATTGGATGAGGTTGATGAGGAAGCCAATGCAGAGAAGCTAAGACAGGAGAAATGTGATCTCTTTTCCCGGTCAGAACACGTGCTGCAGCATTCTGGATCAGCTGAAGAGTCTGATCAAAGACAACTCCATGGGTGCTTCTCAGTCGCTTATTTATCGTTTCCTCGCCCCTCGCTTGAACCGGAAGTTGTTTCACTCCACTCTCTTGCAGACCTCCCAAAGCTCTTATTTGCACTCTGAGGAGCTATGAGCGAGGATACACCAGTACATCCTTTGCGGAAGTCTTTTACTGACCGACACGCCCCCTTACTGGGTAGCTGTTACATTGATTGGACCCTGCAGCTGATCGGACTGATCTGATGCATCAGGACAGATAACATAAAACTTAAGTGCATCACTGCAAAGTGATACACTCGAGTTTAACTGCAGGCTATATTTGATTTGTTTATTGATTCACTGTCTGGTTAAAATCTGAGTTCATTGTAGGCTGTCAACAACAAAAGCCCCACACAACTTTCTTCATTTAGGCTATTAGAATGATTTTACTTTTCTTTTATTTCTCCCATCAACAGTCAGAGAGTCTGTCAGCAAGAAACATGTTTTACATCATTTATCATCTTCTATTCAGTCACATGTGAGGCTGCTCATTCCTGTGTTTAGTCCAATAGAGGACAATAAATAGTAAACAAGTTAGGAGTCGGTCAAGTCACTAAAAACTGCACTAAAGTCTCTAATGAAGCAAGCAAAGGAAAATAAATCCGCACATCCAGCCGATCTCACCTACTGCATCTGATGAAAGCAGCCGACGGCTCCGCGAGTAAAATCAGCTGATGAAAGTATGAATGAAAACTGCTGCGCTAAAAAAAAGCGTCGGATTGCTATAATGGAAAGCAGTGATCGATCGGTGACGAGTGATTTGACTTGACTAAATTAAATGTACGCAGTACACTAGTGTTAAAGGATATCTGAAGAGGAAATAAACTGAAAGTCTAAAACTGAGTGTCGATCATTTCAATTTCCCTTAAACATAAAGCCAATAAAGACACCATGATCATATTCTGGGTTATTCAATAACGAATTTATGATCAGAAACAATAAATATAAATGCAGACAATATCAAGAGAAATGATCCTGTGAGCAGGACACACTGAAACCTATCATTCTTCATGTGCAGGTGTTTGTTAAACAGGTAACAGCTACAGCGAGATTCTGACACTTTATTAGTATCTGAACAGTGCACGTGTTCAGACACAAACTCCATTAAAAGTCTCTCCAGCTGTTAGAGCCGCCTGACAGCTGATCCGGCTGTGATCAGCGTCGCTTCACGTGACGCTTCGGAAGAAAGGACGTCTCATGTCGCTAAAAACATATTTCCTCGTTCCTTCTCTCCTGGCTTGGAAAAGACAAGTGAGGGAAACGTGGATGCAATTAAGAGACTTGAGAAGCACCCCAGGATTCCTCACAGTGGTGCTGGAGGCCAGGGTGGTTCCATGCAGAGTAACTAGGGATGGGGATCGTTCATTTTGATAGATATTTGATACCCTTATCGAGACTGCTCAATGATGTGATTCTTTACTATTATTTGGTGATGGTTATTTGGTAAGACCAGGCCTGCACGGTGTGAGGAAAATATTCAATGTGCGATAACGTTGTTATATACTGAGATGAGGTATGACTTGCGATAAATAAACATACATTCAGGTGTGCATATTAACTGCCTGGTTGTTTTTAAATTATTTATAGGATTAGAATTTAATAACATTAATGTTTACAACAGCAAAGTCACTATAAATAAACTCAATATCTGACATCACAATACTGAGGGATGTTCAAAAAGAATAAAAAAGTTCCTCCTCCTCTCTGCTGTTAGTCACAGCCTGCAGGTAACGTTCCCAGGTAGAAGGAGGAGCGGCTGGTTTGTTTTTAAGACTACAGACCAGTCTGTGCTCCAGACAGACAGCTTTCTATTCAGCTTGTTTTTAACATTTGGCTAATGCCGAGCTAGCGTTAGCTGTGCTAGTTTAAAACATACACGATGTGACACTAAGGACAGAGATGATTTAATGAACCCTTTTTGCTTGTTTACCTTACAGACAGGTGTATTTTACTCGTGAAGGTTTTATTGCATGCACTTAAGCTGATGATACACGGGGCAACTTTTTGAGCAATGTTGCTGGGCAATGTTGCTGGTGGCAAGTCCGACTATGTTTTGAATGGACAGCGGGGGTGCAGGGAGGGTGGTGGGGGAAGGGGATTACGGTACTAATCTTTACCATTGATGGCAACATTGCCTAGCCCCATTGCTCTAAAAGTTGCTCAGTGTATCATCAGCTTAAGTGCAGCTATACAGGGAGACAAACAGAGGAGCTTCATATGCTGAAGCTGTTTAATAGGTGGTTAAAAGTGGTGAGGCAGATGACATGAGGAGGGACAAGCAAGTTGTTCCTCAAACAGCAAGTGTGGCAGAGGACTCAGTTGTAGTGAGTAGGGTTAATTTCTTGGCTTTCATCGTCGAAGTATTGTGTGGTATGAAACAGACCAAAACTAATTTAAGGATCAGGGTCCGTGGGATAGGAGGAGTTTGTTAAAACAGATAGAAGGTTGAAAAACGGTGGAAGCCGAACGGAAAATGGTGATGATATTTAATCTGCTGATGTTTTGTATCCTGCAATGGTATGGCAGAAGTTTGGTAGGACAGAAATTAAAGAGGTCTGTGGATGGTTTTAAAGAAAACCCCCAGTGAATATGCATACAGGAGACACGGCTTTGGAGTTTAGGATTCCAGGTTACATTTGTTTACATAAGGACCGAGACGCTTCTGGAGGGGGTTCAGAGTTGGATCTGTTTGTTTGTGTTTCATTTGCATATTAATATAACACGCGTGACTGCGTGGCAGGTCAGCGGCACCTGATGTTGTTCAAGTCAACTATTAGCCTAAAAGCTTAAGGAAGAATGGAGAACGATGGAGAGAGGCGTTCTTTCCACAGTCATTAGGACTAGTGTGTCACACTCAGAGATGCAAAGAACATGTGCGACCAGCAAAAAGCTTTCAGCCGCCAACAATTCTACATCTAATGTGTTGAAGCATCTGCTAAAGCAGCACAGCAACATGAAACTTGTACAAAGAAAGTCAGAGTAGTTGGAGTAGAGGGAGATTTTGTCGGAATTGTGTTTAAGCGTGCTGTTGAGAGCAAGTGTTAGTATTTGGCGAATTAGCAACAAACTGTGCTGTGAATGTAACTCTCATGGGTAAAAGTACGGGTGGAGATAGTGATAGTTTGTCATGGCAGGATGTAAATAATAAGAGGAAAGGTAGGTGCGACAGTTCTGGAAGTTCAACCTATGGCTTAGAGGTGGGCGTCCAAAAAAGTGATGCCTGCTATAACATATGTGAGAAAGGAGGACACGAACTGAATGGGAGACGGGGGGCATTTCCACCCACTAAAACTAAGAAAAGCAACTGAGAAAGAAACAGTCGTCTCTGCTCCACCTGAAGTGGCTGTGAGCTGCACTTTAACGTGTGTGGATTTGTGGTGAGGTTGTAGAGGTCACCTGGCAGAGGAGGCATTATACATGTTTAATTTCAAAATCTATGTTTGGTCCCCCCCTCTTTCCTAATGTAAAGTTTTATTTTGCATTGCGTTCCTGGTTCAGCCCAGCTAGAAATTTTACGTTCCCAGAACGTTCTGAGAACATCCCCGCTGGTGTCAAGGACGTCGCCTGGTAATGTTCCCATAACGTTCCCAGACAGTCACGATGTGGATTTCTTTAATGGGTTTGGGGACGTTATTTGGAGGACCTTCAGGGAACATTTAGGACATTCTGGGAATGTTTAGGGGACAATTAGATAGGACGTTCCCTCTAGGACTCCACTACACTACATTCCCCTAACATTTCTTTAGCATTTATAGCTGTTTAAGTTACTGTTTGTTAACGGTAAATAACTATAGAATAAACAAACATCTTAGCTATAATATAAACCTGTTTACAGTCTACCTCAGTTATAAACAAAGAACAACTCTGTATGATATATTACGGCATTTATTAAGTTCAACTTTACATCATATTAATGGCAGGAGTGGTTGCCAGAATTTCATTGCAAAAAATGAGCTACATACAATAGGCCTACATCAGGCCATCAAGTTGGTGGCTACAAATTTTACAGTCAACCACTTAAATTAACGTAAATTGCAAAGGACATAACAAATAAAGCCCACTGCAAACCAATGTACAGACTATCATTAATCAACTTGAAGAAACTGTTTTTGCATGTACACATCCTCTGAAAAACAGATTGAACAGATCCAATAACTTGTTCAGTATACTGACAAAGCAGTGATGAGATCTTGAAAAAACAGCATGTGTCCATACACAGTATATATGAAATTAGCCACTTGACCCAGGTTGATCAAGAGTAATGAGTCACTGCGTCCAGACTTGAATGAACAGGGCGCTCAAAGTCTCACACAGACTTTATGTTCAGGAAACTTGAACTTCAAAGTGTACTGTCACCACTCACATGTTGTCCATCATATGTTGATGGTGAACTGGCATGATCTTCTCATGATCTTAGATTGATGCAGTAGTTGAGGATGATGCCTACACAGAGAGACTTAACCTGTTGGAAACCTCCAGCTATTAACTGGAGGTTTAGCCTAGATACATAATTCTGGTCTCCTTTGAAAGGTCAGAAGGTAAGGAATATAAATCCAT